GGGTGTAGGAGGGTGAATATGTTCTCATGTATGAAAATGGAAAGGTGAGCCTGCTGAAATTATTCTAAGAATGGGGGAGAAGCCAAATGAGATAAAGGAGGATGATGGAGATGGTGAATTAAATTAAGATATATTGTAAGCAATATATTTTATAAATGCCACAACGTACCCCCAGTACAAAAATAATAGGATAATAAAAAGAAATTTAAAAAGAGAAAGTAGCATTTTATTTGGGGGTGGGCACTTCTTGTGGAGCAAGCATCAAATGCCATGAAAAGATGATATCTCCTTCCTATTTTGTGTTACTCAACAGCAGGTAACTGTCCTTCCAGAAAAAAAAAAGAATGCATATACGATCACTTGCAGTTATTTTTCTCATAACTTACACAAATGATGAGTTACTGAATTTGCTATTTTGGCACTTGACTTTTTCCCACTTGATATATTTTAGAGCTCTTTCTATGTCACTGTTTCAAGATCTTCATTTTAAAATGAGTTATTATTGCAGGTGGACATATTGTGCAATAATACATTTTCCCCTGTCCCTTCTTAATGAAATTTAAATAGTTTTCAATTCTTTGTTCATATAAAGAGTCCTGCAATGAAAAATTTGACATGGTCAGTTCCCCGGTAGGCAATGTAGGTATATTTCTAGCAGAAAAACTGATGCATAGAAAGATATATACATGTACAATTTGGGGAATGACAAAGTTTCCTTCTTAGCAATGAGACTGAATTTATACTCTCACAAGAATCTTTGAGATATTTCACTGACCCCTTCCTGGAGATCAAAGTATTGCCATGCTCTTGAAGTATTTCCTAGTCTGACTGATGAAAATGGCATGTTACCCATTTTCTCCTATGTGTGAATCTATCTTTCACATGCTGGAGCCATTGGTGTTCCCCCTTCTCTGAATTCCTTGTTCCTCTCTATCTTCCTTAATTTGTTTTCCATTGCTACAATAAAAATACCTGAGACTGAGTAGTTTCTTAGATGCTTCTTTGGTTCAAGGTTACAAAGTTCATGAGCATGGTGCTGGCATCCACTTGCCTCTGATGAGGTCATTCTTGTTCCACCCGTAGTGGTGGAGGGCATCTCTTGGCAATATGCATCAAACATGCTGGATTGTGTCTCTTTCTCTTCATGAGTTCCCCACCATGACCTTATCTAACCCTAATTATTTCTCAAAAACTCTACATCCAAATAATCATTAACATAGAAATTTTAGAATTAAGTGTCCAGCAAATGAATTTCTGGGGGACACATTCAAACTGTAACAACATGATTTGCTCATTTTTCTGTTGGGCGACTATCAACTTCTATTTGTTCTTTATAAATAAGGGGAAGTAGCTCTTTGTCATTGATGTGAGTTGCAATATTTCCCCAGATATCATTTGTATTTTGGCTTTGCTTATACTGTTTTTCTCCCATGCACAAACACAGTTTTTGAGACTTTAAGATAATTCTTATTCTTTTTTCTAGTAGTTTTGTAAATTCTTTTTTTTTTTACATTCCCATATTTGCTACTTTAGAAGGATTTGAGGCTGTAAAATAATTGTTACATATTTTCTTCTAGTACTTTTATAGTCTCAGTTATTCTAGTACTTTTGTGTTTTATTTATTCCTATAGGGGGAAAAAGTTTTTGAAGCCAGGCATGGTGGCACTCACCTGAAATCACAGCAGTTGGGGGATGGAAACAGGAGGATCTTGAGCAAGACTAGCCTGGGATATACAGTGAGACTTTGTCTCAAAAGAAAAGTTTTTCAGACTTATTTATTAAATGCTTTGTCTTTTTCTTCCTTTTCTGAGATGCTACCTTTATCATAGTCTAAAATCCCATATGAATTAGGGACTAATTAGAATTTTCTATATTCTGTTTCATTGCTTGCTACTCCTATATTACCATAATTAAATTTAGAATAGGATTTAATTTCTGCAATAATTTTACTTCATTTTCCCACAGTAAGAAAGCATTTCTTGCTTTCTGAGGGTGACACCCTTGTGCATAGAGTGCAGCTGTCTTCCCTGGCTCCTTCTGACTCACTATTGTTCGTTCTGGGCAAAAGAGTCAGTCAGGAAGCTGCTCTGAAGCCATGTCCTTTAAAGATACCCAAACACATCCCTGGAATGGGGGGTGGAGATCCATTCAATTAGAATTACCCTAACTAGCCCTGGCAAGGTGAAATCCTTGCAGAAAAATTTGCAAGACTTGATCAGAAGTGTGAAGGAAAAGCATCTCAAAGAGCAAAGACCAGCTTGGATGCCCACCAAGACTCTGGGAATCACTACAAAGCCCTCTGTGGTGAAGATTGTAAGGCCTGGGACCACTTCCAGGTGAGAATCCAATCCACAGTGATGCACAGCCCTTCTGAGATGGCCAAGCAGGTCACTCGGTGAGTACAGAGACAGTGATTGGGGCTTATGTCCAAGCCAACTATTCTAATAAAATATCAGTTGTTAAAAAAAGAAGTGTTTCCTTGGTTCTTTTTAAAATTTTCAAGTAAAATCTGGAATCATCTTTACTAGTTCTAAGAAAACAAATGTGTTATATTTTTCTCTGGGATAGGATTTAATTTATAAATTTATTTAAGAAGGCCTGATGTCTTCTTACATATTTTTTTTCCTAGCTAACAAGAAACAAAGTTTTTCTATACTTTTAGGTGTTAGTTTATAATTTTTCAGTTTTTCAGGCCTGCTTAAGTGTGTGTTTTACATTTAATACATGATTAAGAGTAAATGTAATCTTAGATTTTTATCATTTCTGTCCCACTATAAATGGAATCTTCTCTTCTCACACTTTCTAAATGGTAATTATAAGAGTTATTGGTTTCTGCATACTTGCTTTCTGTATTATCTTGGTTTTCAGTTCAGATTTGTGGGTATATACTTACAGCCTATGAAAAAACACTTTCACCTCCTTCTTTCCAGTTTTTGACTTCTGAATTTGTTTGTCCATTTGTGCTGGGTAGCCCCCTCCATACAGTAAATAAGAAAAGTAGTGGCTATCCTTTGATTACGTTTATTCTTTTCTTTTTTGGGCAGTACTCAGGACTTTGTACTTGATAGGCAGGCACTCTACCATGTGAGCCATGCCTTCAGCTTTTTGGGTATGGTTATTTTGGTGCTAAGGTCTTTTTGCCTAGGCTGGCAACCTCACAGTAGCTGGGAAGACAGGCATACCACCATGCTCAGCTTTTTTCCCAATGAGATGGGGTCTCACGAACTTTTTTGCCCGGATAGGCCTCAAACATCGACCCTCACAATCTCAGCCTCCCAAGTAGCTAGAATTATGTGTGAGCCACAAGCAACTGGCTTTATTTGTTTTTGATTTAGGTAGCCAAACACCATTTTTTCCCTATACACACATACCTATGATAATCAGCTTTCCTTTAGCATCTGAATTTCCAGAACCACTCTTTTCATACTTTGTGGTTACTATTAAGAAAAATAAGCTTCACTTGAACATAAGCACTGTGACAGTACCACAGTCAACCCAAGTAACTGAGAGAATGACGAAGTGACTGATGAGTGAGTAGCATGGATACCGGTGGCAAAGGGATGACTCACATCCCAGGCAGGACAGAGTGGATAGCGAGATTTCATTTCTGCCATTTGGAACAGCACAGGGTTCAAATTATGGACTACTTATTTCTGGAACTTTACACTTAATATTTTTGGACCATACATAACTAAAACTATAGAAAGTCAAACTGGATAAGGAGAGACTATTATATTGGCTTTTGGGATGAATACTATTTTTAATCCAGTGAAAGAATTTTGGGATTTGGAGTAAAGTGTATGTAAAATACAAATCTTGAATCACTGTTATTTATTCCCTGTAGCAGACAGCTCAAGGTATCCTCCACTGTAAGTTTCATATGACAGATATGCTCAGAAAACTTCATCAAAAACTGGACTCTCAAACTTTGACAGATTTTATTTAGCACAGTCTCTGCCACTTAAAATTAGGTGTTGGGTTGAAGATGTAGCTTAGTGGGGTAGTGTGGCTAGCATATGTGAGGATCTGGGTTCAAACCTAGGACTGGGAAAAAAACCAGGTGTCTAAGTGATGGGGGAGGCGAGGCTATAGCTCAGTGATACTACTTATGCTAAGTATGAAGCTCTGAGTTCAATCTGCAATACCAAAAAGTAAAAATAAATGGAATTAGGTTTAACTCTCCAAGTGTTTACTCACTTATAAATACTGCTAGAAATGTCTGGAAATTCTTTCTAATGTGTTCTATTTTAGACATCACACATATACAACATGAAAACACCTGTCTGAGGGCATGGTGGGGAGAAGGCCCATTGCCTCCCTCAAGCCACTGAATCGATGTGAATGTTATTCTGTGAACACACAGGCCTGTCTGGAGCTATTCCTGAGGTAGTGTTTTGACACAAAGATCTGTAGAGCACACAATGAAAACTAATCATAAAAAATTAAAATGGTGAGATTATCAAATCTTGTGCACAAACAATGCTACCAGGATTGAAGAGAAGCCCCTGGAAATGGGACCAAACTTTTCAATTCTCTCAGAGAACTGTAAGTTGAAACAGAAATACCCTTACTAGAAGAGGAAGAAAAATGGTATAAGTGACAAAAATGCTCCATGTGTTGGCTACTTAGATCAAATAAGCATCTAAGCATCAGCCCCGTCAGTATTCCTACTTACTTTGGGGAACATCAACTCCAGGATGCCTGAAGTTTTCTCATGGTTGGTTTTCATGCCATTTGCTTGTTCTCATAAGTGATCAGAACTAAAAAATTTCAGTCACTGCTATTCACACGGGTCCCCAACATGGGATGATGGGTCCCAATGACTGCATGCAGTTGAACTGGGCACAGAGACATCTGGTCTAAAGCTGAGGTTTTGAAAAGCTCCATTGGAATCCATACTGGAAGGGCACGCCACAGCACAGTACATCGTGCAGTCCACCTCCAAATCCTGTCCTTTCAATTCACTGACTTTGAAACCCGCTGTGGTTGCTGTAATAGGATTAGAGCTTTGTTGATAGGGTGTTGCTTGGCTCCTGTGGGTGTGGCCCAGTTGATCTCTGAATTGCTGCAGGGCTCTGCACTTCCATTTGCCTTCTAGCTGAGTAGAGAATATATATGCTCCTCATTAAGAAAATTCCGGCAATGACTGCAAAATAACTCCCGTACACTAAAAACTGGACAAGAATGAATAATTAGCCACATATAAAATCTGACACCTATGTCACTGATAATATACAATGATGTCAGTGTGCTTGGATTATGGGATAACTGAGACCCAGGACTTTGATATGGGTCATTTAGATTGGAAATTCCTCTCTTTTCTATCTTAGAACAATCAAGTGTGGAGATGTAAGCAATGCAATGACTAAGAGTCACTGGCTTTTGAGAAATTTCTCAGGTTCAAATCCCAGCTACTTCAGTAACAGTGGGAAAAAAAAAGCTCACTAAATCCTACTGATCCACCTATGTGTCTATGTTTGAAGGCTTGTACAACACTATGTGTACTGTCTCTGAGAATGAATTTTAGACACTGAGGTTACTTCTTAACTGTCTCATCCAGATAAATGTTCACTTTCTTGCAATAATTGCTCAAAACCTACTTGGTGGTATAATTAAGGAATTGCATATTTAAATTTTGTTTAACCAAGGAATTCAAGAATCTTAAATGCTGCCAGTTGTAAGGTTGAGAAACCTTGGAGGTAACCTGTTGTACATTCCCAGCAGCTATGTTGGAAGGCAACCATGGATTGCAGCTTACCTGGGTGCTGATTGGCAGGTTCAGCCCTCTCTGGTCTACTACGATCACAGTCATGATGGTCTGAATCACCAAGGCAATAAAGGTGTTCATTCCGAACACCAGAGCATAGCGTTCCACACTCAGATTAACTGCGATCTGAAAGCTATCATTAAATGCTGGATAAGCATTTTAACCATAACATACCTCTACAAGACAGAAACTGAAGAGAAAGCAATGCTAATGGCACTCCTTTTCTAATCTCCTCCAGTATAGACTAACAGGCAGAGGAAAAAAAAAGAATGAAATATCCTTAAAGACCCAGTAAAGACAGCATGGCAATATTACTGCTATACAGTTTAGGACTTTCCAGAAATTAAGCCTACATGTTATTAAGTGCTCATAACTTGAGAATATTGGATTTTGCCAGATTTTAGATACAGTTTACAGTGAATTTTATGAAAAATCTAAGTGCCACCCAATCTGAGGAATTTTGAACATTACACAAAAAAATTGTTGATTGTCAATTGCTGGCACTGACAAAGATTGGTAGATGAGTTATTCTTCAGAAGATCCAATCCATGACTGGTTTTACAACTAAGTGAATCTGTAATTAATTTCAAACTATAGAGATTTTGAAATCTTACTACATTTCTTGGGATGCAAGCAAAAGGCCTTGCGTTTGGAGTGTTTTTTTTAAATGCAAAGAAATAATATAATCCTACCTTTCAATCCTCACTTTAAAAAAAAAAAGAAACTAAAGACATGAGTTTGATTCATTAAACCAAGACACTTCAGTGAAAAACTAAGCTTGTCATCTAGTTTCATCTCTCTCCTTTGTCTCATGATCTTTTCTCTTGCATTCATATTTCTGTTTTGTCAGTTGTCAAACATTTTCACAAATCAAAACAAAGAAAACAATGAAGATGGGCGTGATGTGATACTCCTGTAATCCCAGCATTTGGGAAGCTGAGGCAGGAGGATTGCAAGTTCCAGGTTAGCATAAGTTACATCGAGAAACTGACTCTAAAACAAAATTAAACAGAATTTTTCTGTTGTTCTCAGAGGAACTCTATGAGTGCAGAAGAGTGGTTGGTAATACTTACACTGCTATGGTGATAAGAAGCATATAGCTGGACTTGAATATCAAATAGCCAGCATAGCATGGCCAGATGCTGAGTGCATAATGCATGAGGAACAGAGCACCTGCACTAACCACTGAGAAGACGGCCAGAGCCAGTTCTCCCAGAAGATCCCAGTTGATCTTCACATAACCCACAGTGAAGGAAGCCACAGCCCCTGAAAATGAAACACGGAGGAAGATTAAGCACACTGACTTTGCACCTAGAAGACATTAACACACTCTTAAAAAAAAACAGGTTTTAGGGCTGGGCATGATGGCATATGCCTGTAATCCCACATATGTGGGAGGTAGAGGTAGGAGGAGCAAGACCAAGGCTGGCCCTGGGCAAAAGTGAGACCCTATCTGAAAAAATGACTAAATCACAAAGGGAAGAGGTGTGGCTCAATGGTTCAGCACCTGCTTAGCAAGTACAAGGCCCTGAGTTTGACTAAAGTAGAAAGGAGAAATAGAGGGGATGAACCAATGTGGGTTATAATACATAGATACATGGAAATGTCACAAGGAAACTCCTGTACAGGTATCTTAAGCAAGCAAAATGTCTTTTTTTCTAAAACAAAAAACAGGATGGTAAAACAGTTCCTCTTTAGGGGTTGGTACCATTGGGATGTAAGGAAAGGGTGTAGGAGGGTGAATATGGCAGAAATATTAGGTGTTCATGTATGAAAATGGAAAAATGAGACCTCTTGAAACTGTTCGGGGAATGCGGAGAGAGGAGATAAAGGAGAATGGTGGAGTGGATGAAGTCAACTATAATATATTGCAAGAACTTTGGTAAATGTCACAATGTACCCTAGTATAGCAGTAATTTAAAAAAAGTTTTAAGAAACCAAGGCCCTGAGTTCAAATCCCAATACTGCCAAAACAAAACAAAACAAAACAACAACCCAAGTCTCAGGCAATTCTCAGAGACGAATATATTGTTTTCACAAAAATGGTGTGATCCATCTAAATAAAGATTTATCCTTTTTAAAGCAGGTTTTCTTCTTTTTTTCATTTCCTGTTTTTTTCAGTCACTTAGTTGTCACACTTTTAATTAGTGTTAACTACATACCAGGCACTATGCTATGCAGAGGGTCACAAAGAAGTGTGGGAGAAAAAATGCAGTATTTCAGTCATTTCATACACCATCCAGGAGAAAAAGGCTGAAGCAAATGCTCTGAGAAAATACTTCATCTTTGCTTTATCATTTTTCACTGGAAGTTTTCCAGTAGTGGGAATCAGATATGCTGCATTAACTAGTCAGCTTTAGTCTTTATTATTTATCTTTATCCTACTTTTAATCTCCACTTTAAAGTCTTTAAGATCTGCAAGATTGGACCTAATTTCCTTTTACCTTCATTTTTTTTTTTGCTTTTGTTTTTTGAGACAGGGTCTTGCTTTGTTGTCCACACTGGCTTTGGACTCCCAGGCTCAAGCTTTCCTCCTCCTGTCTCAGTTTCTGAGTAGTCGGGAATACAGGCACATGCCGCCATACCTTCTTGACCTAATTTTCTTGAGTTTTAGGGTGAAAAGATCTGTGTTTATTTATAGAGTTTAAGAGGCTGGATGACTGTATTTAGGTTAGTAATTATGGTTCTTTTTGACAAAAAGAACCATAATTCAAATTACTGACAACTGGTCAATTAACTTTCCTATCTGTGTTGTAGGAAAGAACCATATCTACAAAAGACTATTTCCCTTTAAGAATTTGGAACATAGGAACAACCACTGCAGTGATGCAGGTCTGACACAGTCCTTGTTTTAATAAGTTCACCTGAAGCCTCCCCAAAGGGAGAGTATAATAAAACAGAGGTCAAGTGAGTTTTTGAAAACTATGAGGGTGTGGAAAAAACCTCACTTCCTAAAAAAAATATCTTCAAAGTCTCACTTGATATGTAAGTTCCATTTGCTAAGATATAAATATTTATTGTAGGGTAAGCTTCAAAGGCAGATTTCCTTCTGACAGTACAACCCTGACTCTCACTGAAATCTCGTAAGAAAACTACTTTTGAAACTTATTGGTCTAGGGTTGTGAAAGGTGAGTAATAGCTAGACCATTAACAAAACCCTTCCAGTAAGATTTTGGAAACTTTAACGTCTGTTCTAAAACAATGAATAAAAACTCCTTACTTTAAATAGTTTTTCCTTGTGCTACTAAAAACTTATTATGCCCTCTGAGCAGAGCTAATTGTGGAGAAGTTTAGTACCTAGAGAAATGAACTTTTGAGGGTAGGTCACCAGAAGAAAAGAAAGCAATGTTTACCTCCAAATGTTGCAATAGCTTCTACTGCCCCATTATAGATGGAAGAGTCTTGAGATGGTGCCTTGTAATCCCACAGGATTTGAACATAGTTCAAAATCTGGTTAAAACCTGCAGTGGACAAAGCCCACCAGAGGGACCAGTAGAACAGGCGTTTTGAGGAGTAGCACTCCTTCAGATCCTGGAACCACTGCACGAAGTTCCTCAAAGCCCCATTTCCTGGCTTTGAGTTGCCCAGCTGACTGCCCTCCAGATTCCCGGAAATGGTGAACGGTTCTTGGTGAGCTGTGATGTGGTCCTCATGAGCTACCTCGAGGACTGCATCCTGACCCAGGGGCTTTCGAGGAGCTTCTTTGTTGGGCTTTGCATGGAAAAACATGCTCTTCTTAGGCATTGGTAGAAAAAGTGAGAAAAAGAAGGCCACAGAGACAGAGGCCAAGGATATGACATTGAGGTAAAAGTAGGCCAGGTTCGCCAGGGATACCAAGAGCTGGGCCAGCACTGAGGCCGCTGTGTAGGCCACCAGCGTGACACTCCGACAGTAGCCGCTCACCTTCTGATAGTGCTCTGGGCTGACCACACTGTATATGTAGGCATAGTAGGCCACCTCGGTGGCTGAGACCATCCCAAAGACGACCTCGACAACCTGCATGACCTTTACTCCTTGGCCAAACAAGAGCAGCAGCCAGGTAACAATGAAGCTGATCCCTTGTAGGACGATGACCGGCTTGTATCGGACGTAATCAGTGAGCACAAACACAGGGAGCAGCAGTGCCAGGTAGGAATATGTCCATACTGGGAGGACCTTGTTTGTGATCTGCAAAGTGGATACACAGTGTGACCACAGCACCAGCACATCTCAAAGGGACGTGTGCTTTGTATCTCAAATTCACATCTGTTCAGATACTCTTCATATTATGGAAAAACATGATAGAAAACTGATTTTCAAGGAAATCACTAAGAAAAGGTAGTGCTCTTTCCCACTAGAAAAAGAAAGAAACAGAAAAAAACCCAAAAATAGAAAATGAAAAAGGGAGGAGAAAAAAAGCAGTCAATTTATAGTATCAGGAGCACCCCAGGAGAAGGCATAATCTGAACTATGTATTCATTTTAAGTTTAAATAGTATGTACAGTTGAGTAAAAACTTTTCAGACACTTCTGGGTTTACTAAGTTCTTAAAAAGATACCATTCCTTTCTTGTTCAAAGAATAACAGTTTAGGTAAACCATTTACAAAGGGGTATCAAAAGAGTAAATGACTTCATCAAATGACTGAGTGAGAACAAGTAATACATTTCATTTCATTCCTGGACAAATTTTCTGGGTTCCTTACTTCCCCATCCCCAATATTTCTATTGATTTGTCAGTGCTTAATGTGGGTCATCTCACAGTTTAGCCAGAAATTTTCATAGTCAGAGGTCAATTTTCTTTCTTTTTTTTCTTAAATTTTGTTTTATTGTTTTTACATTTACTTACATGTATATGCATCATTTGGGCTACCTTCCCCCCTCTCAATTTTCATAGATAGAAAGGACTGAAAAGATTGATCTTTGGGGGCACTTCTCAAACCATTGAATTCCCTTCATCAGAGATATCTGGGCCCACTGACGTTGTAGGAAGTAGGAGGGCTAGAACTGAGCTGCAACAGTGAGGAAGGGTCTAGTCACTTGTCCACAGTGGCTGCAGATGCAGACCCCAGTGGATTTGTTGAGCTTATTCTGGACCTGAATCTGTCCTGTTACCTTACTTGTGACACACTTCAGTCTGAGAAACTCTAAGCAGTTGTCCCTATGTGATTTTATACAAGAATCTTGGCGTTCTGCCCTTAATATGCACACATACTAACTTACCTCTGAGCTGGTCAGGTTTTTACTTGGCCCAGACAAATATGGGATAAGGAATGGTTCTGAGGGTCTCATCATGGAGAAAAACCCAAATAGGCAGAGGATCACAGTGGGATAAATCCAGGAACTGTTTGATGAAGTTCTGAAACAAACCATGGCTGATCAAATGGAAACAAAGCAAACATTAAATGATGTTAATTCTTTTTGGCACCTTGGATGTAATGAAAAAGCTGATTATTTCTACTTGTTTTATGAAAGGATAATATTTTGCTCATATGGAATGGAAAAGTGAGTGAGTAACTTCTCTCAAATATTCCTTAGGTGAGCCAACCACTCCTTCCTTTGTCAATGGACTTCTTTTTCATTATGCTGAAGGAAGAGTGACATTTTTTTAGTGTTCTCCATCACAAACATAGTTATGAGCAGTACAATAAATGAAAATCAATAGGTCAATGCATGCTTGAAATAAGTGAAATATTGGCTATGAATTATTAGCCAATGTGGTATATGTAGTAGGTAAAGAACTTCCAAGTGAATGTAGATTGAATTAATCAAACCTTCTATCACTTCTCCATTTTGTAGTGATTCTGAAATTTTTAGCACACTGAATTGCATTTGTTAGTTATACTTCCATCTCTTTATGAGACTGTTCCTTGCCTAGATGAGACCAGGTTGGGTGTCTGGGTTACTCTATGTTTTATTCCGTAAACAATTACATCTGCAAACCAGTTCATAAACACCAGACACATGAACTTATCAATCACATCAAATATAACCCCTTAACCTGGAACTATCCCAAAAATAAGACATGGCAGACACACTGACCTTGTCACCCAGTCACCCACTATGAGCCTTCTACAGGAGAATTACAGTGTAGGACCTTGCCTCTGTCCTAGGGCACCAGAGCACAGTTTCTCCTGCCTGTGACACACAGCCCACTTCCACCTGACAGACAGAAGGCCCGCCTGGACCTGTATTTGACAATTCTTCATCTTGAACTGCTCACCATTTGCAGTTAGCAGAAATTCATATGTGGTGCCCTACAGAGACTCCTTCCTGTCTCTTTATCAGCACTCTGTGACTTCAGCGACTTCAGCACAGACTTTTGAACTCTGCAGTCTCTTCAACCCTTTCTCAACATTATCTACACATTGTCATTGTGCAAAGACTAATGTGTGATATGAGAGTTAATATTAATAATTAAAACTGTAATAAAAGATTGTGTTGCCAATGGCTCAGGGCTGTCAAGGGAACTCAGTAGTACTTGGCGAATTAAAGCCAACAAAATTGAGGTAGCTTGTGGATTTATTGTTATTCAATAAATTCTGGCACTATGAAAGACACAAGAAAGAAGTCTATGCTTCTGATACAGCTAGCTTACAACACTAGAATTTTTCTAGGTCACATAATAAACACCTGAGGTATTTGTTTGTAATTCCAATCTTCAAAGAATTTATAATTCTTCAGTTAAAAAAATGAAACTGAATAAAGACCTTACTTTCTATCATTTTCCATATTCTCCTCTCCCTTTTCCCCTACTGGTCCCATAAGCATAAAGCAACACTTAATGCTATTACTCCACTTTTCATTATGGTGGAGCTCTTCTGTAATATTGTGGTTTCATATCACTCCAAGGGGACAGGCTCTTAAGTAATTCTTCATACTTTTTAAACATAGAAATTGCATGAAATTCAAACTTTGTACTTAAATCCCAAGAGGATCTTAGTCATTTCACAGAAAACCAACCAACCAACCAACCCAACCTGATTTTATGGTGGTTATGCTTGAAAACAATTTGCTTTTCCAGTGTGCAAGGGAAATTTTATTCTTATTCCTTTATAGATGAGATCAAACTTTGTTGTGAAGCTTACACATTTTTGGTGGTTTTCATTTTGGTTAACTTCTGAGATAACTGATAGGAAGAAAACTAACCTGCTATGAGTATAATGCTCTTCTGTATAATTTCTTATTAAGCCTCATAATAACTATAATTTCAAAGTGAATATATGGAAGACCCAAGATGTTCAACAATTGGATTCAAACCACATGGTTAAGATTTGAATCAAGGTCTCCCTAACTCCTGTCACAATCCTCTCATCCACTCCTCTCTGCCTCATTCTGGTAGCCCTTCTCCCTCAGCTGCTGGTAGTAACCATAGTGAAGAAAGAAGTACTTTTATAAACATATCAATACTAGAGATTATGTCTTAACACACAGAACTTCCAAAGGTGATTACAGTTTGGAAGTGGGCGAGAGAGATATGACAAGACATTTATGGCACTTATCCCAGAATAGCAAGTCACCCAGGTGGAATTTCAGGTATCCAGGAGGAGGAAGCTATCAGGTTACATCATGGCTCACCAACCACCCCACCTTTTTACAAGGTGCTGAAGATAGTTGCAAAATTTATGTCAACAAAATCCTGATCTAAGCAGTGTAGAGAGCATGATGTTTGGACTTTGGTAGCAGGTTTCCAATATTGAGCCACAATGAGGAGACAGAAATTGTGCCAAGGGCAAACTGGAGTTGACCATGTTTCACTTACTTCCCCAGCCCAGAAATCATGGGCTTTCTCTCCTTCCTGAGATACTATGGTGCTTGCTTTGTTATTAGTAGTCTTAAGGGAAAGGGTCCTGAGTAGCCAATCTTGGCCATCTTTTGAAGGGTGGTCTTGATGGTGTGGTATTTGCTGTCTACATCTGAAATATTTTATCTATCTATGCTGACCAAGGACTTGGTCACAAAATCCCAGATCTTCTTCATGCACCTCAGAGACCTAGTACTATGTACATGGCCCCTGAACTGCCCCTTGGATTATTTATCTCTTTATAATTCTAATACTGATGCCTACCTGGAGTTAGTTGAGAAGGTCAAACAGAAAAAAAAAAATACTATATATACTTGAAATATATGCCCCCAAAGTGTGAGCCCCACAAAGACAGGGCCTGTTATCTGCTTCATCACTCTATTCTAAGGGTTGAGAGTACTGCTTGATGAGTAATAAGCCATCACGGAAAATGCTGAATGAATTGAATAGCCATGGACAAGGGTAGGGATGGAGAGGGAGAGGTGTCAGGAACAGGCACAGGAGGTGGGGGAGCAGTCTTGTAGAAGGGAATGACAGACAAACGTCACATGAGAATTCATATAAGTTCTGTCTGTTTTTTCCCAGTGTACTTTACCTTCTAGTTGCATCACTGAAAAGCCAGGGAGCTCTTCAACTCTACAGGTTCCTTGTACTTGAGGGAACAACTTGCATTCTGCCAAGGTCACCTCCTCACCTCCTGGGAAGCTTGTAGCTAAATGTCTCACTAGAGCTGGAAGTCACTAAGCATCGGGCAGCACCTTTGATTTTCACCTCATCATTAAGCAATGTTGTTCTTCACTACTGTCATGACTACTACTGTGATACTTCACTTACTTATGCAATGGAGTTCCAGGCTAGCCTGAGCTACATAGTCAGATGCTGTCTCAAAAACTCACAAAAAATTACTTATGCAATCTTTCTACAATTTTTTGCATTGGGAAATTCAGTTTTTGGCTAATCCACAGTAGATAAAAGTAATGCTGTCCTCATTTTATAGAAGGGGAAGTGGAAGGCCAGAGGCAATTTGATTTGCTTGTTTGCACATCAGGGCTTGGATTTGGACTCTTTTTTTTGTTTGTTTTTATTGTTGTTTTATTCTTTGGCAGTACTTGGGTTTGAACTTGGGGACTCATGCTTGCTAGGCTCTACCACTTGAGCCATACTCCCAGGCCTTTTGCTTTAGTTAGTTTTCAGCTAAGGTCTTGTGTTTCACACACCACTCTCTGCCCCAAGCCTTGGACTGAGATCCTCTTTCCTATGCTTCATGCATTGCTAGGATTACAGGTGTGGGCCACTGTGCCTGGCCCTTGGGCTGTTTTCTGATCCCATCTTTGCTAATTTTTCCTTTTCATCTGTGTTGAGAGAGCCAGCCACATCCTCAAAATTAAAATTCCAGTTTATTTTAGGATTGCAAAAAGGATTAAAAGTGATTAAAAATATTAAGTAGAAGAGCACAATTGTAGGGTAGGGTTAGGTTTTTTTCCTTGCAACTTTGTTTCAGTTAGCAATATATAAATATGCATGAATCATAACAATACACACTAACTTACTGTGGGACACAGTCAGAGGAAAGAACAGGAGTAAAGATGGACACATGTCCCTTAGAAGAACACCTGCGCATCTTCGGACATGCATGTGTGGTCTGGCTTCACACAGGCTCCACAGTCAAATATCTGTTTTGGAACAGATTGTTGTTTTTCCATTTTTCCACTTGTCATTCCATTTTGACAGTCTCATATCATCCCCTTCCTAAAAGTACTCTGAACCTCACTTCATTGCTCCAATTTGAGGGTGTGAACTGGACTGATTTTCTGAGCTTAAACTTCTGAAAGCAAGATTTACCTTAGCTCTTCTTTTCTATGCTTTCCAAGTAAGATAAGTCTTTTAACAATTGCTCCGTGGCAGTAATCTTCACGCATTACTCATAAGCTCCATCGTCATTTTTTAAAAAGTTAAAAGACACTGTGTGGGCAAATTTAAAAAACAAATGCATTCCCCAAGCAAAAGTCAGTCTATCAGGCTCTCAAGACTTGAAACAAATGTCACATCATTGAAGACTCCGGAAGTGGAAATAATAAGGAAGGTGGAAACCATCAGCTGTTCTTTGTAGCACAGACTTGGAGCAGCTAAATTGATGACAGAGCTTACCATGGGAGGCTGCAACATCCGCGTAGGAGATTTTGCAGAGGGAGAACACAGGCTGGTAACAGCAGACAGAAGAGAGGTTGTGAATACTGAGCTCTGGCCTCAGCTCCACTCCCAGGCCACAGTAGATAGGAGCAGGTCACAGGGTTGTTCCACTCCTCAGGCAGACCAAAGAGCACCAGATTCCACCATGATTGCAGCACACCATGTAGGCCCAGGAGGAAATGACTTCAGTTAGTGTTGGGGCTACACAGCAGACACTGACCCAGCTGGCACGTGTGATCTTGCGGGAGTCCCCAAATCACCAATGCCTTGGGGTTGGAAGTGACCACCTAAATTATGTTGAAAATGATGCATTCCTTTCTCCTTTTGTGGTAGGGGAATATACTTTTCATCTTATGAGAAAAAGTCCCCATCAGTGTTC